GGTTAACAGTGTCCACAGGAAGTTGTTAAATTGCTTTAAATTTTTAGGCCAAATAGAGCTTATTGAACTAAATACAAACCCTAGAAGAACATCTTGGAAAAATGAAAGAAATAAGAATTTAAAGGATTTCTCCCTGAAACACAAAAATTATTTATATAAACAGTAAGACCTTTCTAGATCATAGAATTTTAGAAAGCCAGACAGTGATTCCCAACCCACACCCTGCCAACTCATAGCCCTTACCTAAAGAATTTGAAATTGTTTTATAGTAGTGGAAAGTGTAGATTGGGGGGGGGGGTGTATGTGTATTTGCCTAGTTAACCTCTTTAATTCCTGATGTTTTCATTATTCATTGTCTCATAGATACGAAATGTGGAAACAAATCAGTGTCTAGATAACATGGCTAGAAAAGAGAATGAAAAAGTTGGAATTTTTAACTGTCACGGTATGGGAGGTAATCAGGTGAGTATTTTATTTTAGTAAAGCTTTAAAAGGGACAATTTTCGGATTTGTTTTAATCTTCTGTCCTTTTTATCTCATGATGTCATTCAGAAAATATTTTCCTACCTTTAAAGAGAAAATAAGACCTTTAGGAGAAGGGAGCTTTCAATGTAAAAATAATCTAGTGACTATTTTTAAATGAAACATTTGTAAAAGGCCCCTTGTGAGAATTGTTTTAAAATTTCTGAGTGTGAAATTTATTTCGCCGTTTTTAGTCAAACAGATGACAGCTCAGTGTATACAGAGAACTCAGGGTCATTTTTTCTTTCTATGTAAAATTAGTAGTAGCTTTTCTGAGTCATTTATCTCTGTTACATTAATAAAGCTCAAAAATTGTGTATATTGAAATACTGGTTTTTTCTCTTCCAATTATTGGGCATATACAGTGCTAATTTCACTGTTAAAGCTTATCTGTGTGCATTTTTGGTTTTCAGGTTTTCTCTTATACTGCCAACAAAGAAATTAGAACAGATGACCTTTGCTTGGATGTCTCCAAACTTAATGGCCCAGTCACAATGCTCAAATGCCACCACCTAAAAGGCAACCAACTTTGGGAGTATGATCCCATGGTAAGTTACTCATTTGCATATAGGATAAAATATATAAAATTATGTGTGTCATTGGGTGTATTTATATACTTTATAGCCGAAAGAATGAATTCTTGGGGAGTTTGAATATAGATCAAATTGTTCTTATACTCTAAATTTTGACCAATGGGAAAAACAATATAAGTAGAATGTTTTCATCTCCCTGATAATTAAATTAGGCTTGCTGCCAGTCCCTGAGCTCTTGTCACTAAGTAGCCACTCTTGCCTCTGTATGTCCTGAAGCTCTGCAGTCTAGGTGGGAGAAATGTAGCAGTAAGCAGGCTTTTTAAATTACCAAATTAAACATTTAGGTAACAGGTGAGCTTCAGTTAATGAAATTCTCTGACTCATCATGAGTTTTCAGTGACATTCATAACAAAACTTGCTGTATTTATCTTTAGTTTTCTCTGGGGCGTCTCCCTCTCCCCACCCACTCTATGTGGTACTCACTCCCTAGAGGTGCTTCAGAGGTGCTAGTCAGTCAGAGCATCTCCCGTAAGCCCATCTCCCTCCGCTCATCCCTGGCCAACTTCACAGCGTGTGCTTTTGCTCTGCAGTTCTGGAAGCCACACCTGCACCTTCTGGATGTCTTTCTCTGGTTCTTGTTTTCCTGCTTTCAAGCACTAGTGTTCTTCTTGTAAGGAAAGACTTTCGTTCCTGTTTTGCTTTCTACACACCACCTTACTTTCCTCCTGCGTTGTATGATGGTGAGGAAGGGCCCACACTCGTACATCTGGTTCTCCAACCCAGGCTCCTGCCTTGGCCTGACACTGTGGAAACAGCTCCTGGGTACAAAGCCAGGAGCATTTTCGTCTCTCTTTCCTTTTAGCATTTACTGTTGCTGAGCTGATGATATTTTAAAACCCCCTGCTCCATTGGCTTTAGATGCACTACTGTTTAGTTTCTTCTCTCAGCTTTCTCTCTGTTCTTTTTATCTGCTTGGCTCACTCTGCTTCTTCATTCTACCCCTTAATGAAGATATCCAAAGTTATGTCTTTTCTCCCTATACTGTATGACATACAAACCATGGTCTACATTACCTGTTCCTGAACATACCCTGTACTCTCCCACTTTACATTTAAGACCATACAGCTCCCTCTGCCTGACAGATCCTAGCCATTCTTGAGGGCCCAGCTTTGACGTCACTTCCATGAATCCCAGCCAGAAATTAGCTCTCTGTCCTGATTTAATTAGAATTGTCTTTGACTCCTGTAATGCTGTGCTTCTTTGTAGTTATTTTATCTGCCAGTACTCAATTGTTAGATCCTAGAGGGCAAAGATCACGTTTTATAAATCCTGGGTCTCACTTTATAATGTCAAACTATAGTAAAAATAATATTAACTATAGCAATAGCTTAGTTAATACGACCATTGGTTTTCATGTAATACTGAATACTCTGTTCCAGGGTGTTCCATGGTGCTTCCATTTTGGGTGTAGCTGCGCCATGCACAGCAGGATAGAGCGAGTTTCTGACTCTAGACAGTAAATGCCAGGCGCATCCCACAGTGGTTGTGACAACCAAAATTAAAAGCCTCCCAATTATGTGTTCATTAAAAAATGACAGTATATCAGTAGGTAACATAAAACCTATTATAGCAGCGTAAATAAATAGGGGTTTATTTTTCTTAAGTCTGGAGATAAGTGGCTTCTGATGTGGATTTAATGGCACAGTGATATCAGGGATAGCATTGCTATAATATTCTAGGCTTTTCCTTGTGGCCACAAGATAGCTGCTGCGGCTTTCACCATCACATCCCAACTCAAGGCAGGAAGAAGGGAAAAGGGAATGTTGTGCCTCCCCGGGTACTGCTCTTTATCAGGAAAACCAAAGCTGTTCCTGGATCCCCCTCAAGCAGACTCTGCTGTGTCTCATGGGCCAGAACTTCGTCCCATAGTGAGCCCCCAGCTGCAAGGGGGGCTGGGAAAGTGCGCATTTGGTTTTCCAGTCTTGATGGTGTGATGTGACCAGGATACAGAGACCTAAAGTCTACTACAACTGTGTTTCCAAAAGTAAATTATTAGAAATTTAAGGACCTAGAGATGGTTTAGGATATTTAGAAAGAACCAGTTATGAGTGTAAAGTTTTAAAACTTCTGGAGCACTTTGCAAAGTGTTTGCCCTGAGATAAACTTTTAGTGTTGAATTCTCCCAGAAGCCGACTCCAAGATAAAGTTTAGTGTTCGGGATGTTTATTAGGAAGTACTTGTGAGAGGAAGTGGAAGAAGACAGGGTTAGGCAGAGCTGGGATGCAGGCCCCACAGCCTGCGCCAGCTGCATGGGAAGCTGCATAAGGGGCTGTCAGAGCTGTCCTGCCTCCATCAATCGCAAACAGCAGTCTTGAAGAATAAAGTATTTATGTCAATAACCTATAATCTAAATTTAAAATCATGAAATCTTAGATTTCAAAGAGTCTCTAGAAATAAAATCCAGGCCCTTGTTTTATACCTGTAGACATCGAGGCCCAGGGTGGAATTTAGTTGCCCCGGGTTACAGAGCATGTAAAAGGCGTAAGCGGATCTCAGGGCAGACCTGGGAGTCTAGAGCCAGGATTCTTTGCACAATATAATACTATCTTTGATTAAATTTGTATGTATTTATATCTTTAAGTCTTGTTTATATTACATTGTTTTGCATGGAGTTTATGACACCAGGCTCCTCTGCTCTGACTACTTGTAGCTGTTCTTTCTGGAATAAAATGTAGATTTTGACCAGTTACTAACATCTAGAGAGTAAGGGTAGGACGCGACAACTTATTTTTTCTAGGTTGCAGGTGGACTTGATGCAATGATAATTATAACTTTCATCCTGCTCTTCAAAGTTACAATTAGCTATCTGTCATTTACCCAGTTGCCTTAAGCTTTTTCTGTGTGGAGAGTAATCAGTGCTGACCTGGTCCTCTGCTGAGTACAGTGAAGACAGTCCCCACAGTGTCACAAGCCACAGAACTCTGCACCTGCTGTCAGCAGCCAGAACTGGGTCTGGTGGAGCAGAGTTCTTCACAGAGTCCAGGTTCCCCACAGGGAGGTCAGCCGCCTGAGATTGTCGGGCTCCTGCCCACATACCAGCATGGGGTCATAGCCTATGTCTTTGTTACAAGTTTAGTTTAATGGATCTAAATAAGTGGAATATACATTTTTAGATGGGATGAAAAAGGACCCATTCCCCAACTAAATTTATTGTGTTTAGTTTTTGATATTTTTATTAATACTGATAGCGTCCTGAGGAAGGTTGACACTCAAGACAGGCTTCGCGAGCCTTGTGGAATGTTTGAGGAGTTCTGGAGTGAAAGGCCTTGTGGCAACAGACCATTCATGCCGCTAGGGATAGTGCTGGGCTAGGGAGTTTTCCAGTGGTGAGTTCATTTATCGAGAACTTACTCTGAGCTGGGCAGCACTTTCTGTACATTATCTTAGTCTTTCCTCAGAACAGCTCTTAAGTATTTTTGTCCCCATTTTATAGATGAGGAACCTGGCACTCAGAGAGGTTTTTGCTCCAGGGATATACAGTCTAGGCTGCATGACGTTTTGGTCAACAGACCACATATCAGTGGTGGTCCATAAGATTATAATGGAGCTGAAAGATTGCCCAGTGACATAGCTGTCGCAACAACACTCACGTGTGTGTGGTGATGCTGGTGTAAGGAAGCCTGTGCTGTCAGTCATATAAAAGTGTAGCATATACAATTATGGACAGTACATAATACTGAAGAATAATAAGTAACTTACTGGTTTATGTA